TCACAGCCCGTCCTGGAGATGTATATTATTTTATTCTTGATGGTGTGAAATGACGGAAATACCCATGGACGTTAAATTGTGTGATGTGGTTTAAGTGTTGTTTATGGATCACTATTCTAAAATCCTAATTGTTTGGGACCAATTAGGATTAAGTAATTGTGTATTTTGGGTTGTTGACCAATCTTAGACCACACACACACATCCACATCATCTCTTCTCTCACTCCTGTACTCTCTCTCTCGGTTTTTCTCTCTCTCCCTCTCGGCATTGTGTACGGACAAACACCAAAACCCATTCAAACTTCATAGATTGAGGACGTTGAAGGTACCATCGTGTTCCTTGCAAGCTCAAGAACACATCTAGACCATTTTCAGGTAAGGACAGCTTTGTCTTCACGTCAAAACCATAACCCCGATTTGGGGTATTGTTCATGCAAATGTTAAATCTTGTGTTTTTGGAAATTTCAAGCTCACAGGAAGCTTAAGGAGGTCCTCACGAGTCTCGGGGTACTTCGTTGGAAAGAAATGGACGTCGGAGGGCCGAGATCGAAGCTATTCTAGGTAAGCCGAACTATCGAGCTTTCCCTATGAAAAATGTAGCAGTTTTTAGGTCTTAAAACTGTTATAACGTGATTGTGGATGTCCTTAGCTTCATGTTGGTACAAATTTCATGAAAAATGGTTAAGAAACGAGCGAGAATAGACGTTTTAAAGTTTTACCCAGTTTTCCAACGATCGGCGACTCACTAGAGAAGATGACGGCATATTTCGTCAGTTTGGACGGAATATGCTGACGCCGTTAGTCAGTTTTAACGGAATCTGTTAGATTTTAACAGAATATTCCCTAACGGCAGTTAGGGAATCCGTCAGTGCGAGCGTGAGGCCGTGCCCTCCCGGCACGTGAGGGCGCATGAGCCACAGAAAAATTATTTTAAAAATATGACAATGTTCGTGAGGTTGTGTAGGTCACGTTGGTATATTCAAATACCAAAATTGAGCAATGTATGAGAAGTTATTAGCTAGTTTTGCCTATGTGCTTTAAAATAACGTTTTTATAGTTAATTCGCATATAGGTGAGACTTATCCCGAGGACGAGCGTATTCACGGGCGACTCGGGGGTTACAACCCGTCGACATACCAGTGAGTGGGCTTTTGTTTTCAGTATATATTTATATACTTGATATATTTCCCAGAAATGCATTTTAAAGGAAAGTATGCTTTGAAATAATATGCCAAATGCTTTTATATTCTGAATATGCATTTCATGGTTGCATATATATATATATATATATATATATATATATATATATATATATATATATATATATATATGTGTGTGTGTGGTGTTGTGGAGGCACATGTAAGTTCAGGTAAGTTATGTTTAATTATGTGAATCATCGATGATGTGATATGTGATTGAATGATGTTGAGCTCATAAAACTGCACCTAGGGTGATTGTGATTTAGCCAGAGATATGAAGTACATGCCTATTTATTTACGTCACATCCCGCACTATATGCTCATATTGGATCCAACTTAAATGCACAGTCTTGTCGTACAGACCTTATTTATGGTTCTGACTCGTAGATGACTAGCGATTTATCGCCCGGCTATTATGAGAGAATAGAATTGAGCATAATTATATTACACCCAATCTTGTCGTACATACCCCTTTTTAGTGGTTCCGACTTATGTGCAATATATTGCCGTATAGGTCATTGTAGTGACTCCGGCTAGATTGACTTTTGAGCTATGAATTCATCCGTACAGACTACCACAGGGGTTCCGGCTAACCTATCATATTTCTATGAAATCAGTCTTACCTGGATTGTTTACTTTGTTATATTTTGGCATGGCATACATATGAATATGATTATGTGAAGCATGAATTGAATTGTTATGATTTCAAAAATATATATATATATATGCTTATATCTTGATTCTGGGAAAATTATACATGTTTTACAGCGAGGGGTTAGATATGTTGATAAATGAAATGATTTTGTAAAACAATTGTTTTTTCCCACTCACGTTTTCTGTTTTGCGCCCCTCCAGGTTTTAAGTAAGCTTGCTGTTGGTGGCTTGAGGAAGTCGGCAGTTCTGACTTATCTAAATAATAGTAGGACATTCCTGGTACTGTATAACTAGTACTTGTCCTACTGGACTGCACCTAGATTTTATGCTTTGATTAGAAGTGTTTACTGTTGTAACTAACTCCTATCACTTTCTGTTTAGTAGTGCACTCTAGTAATTTGGTTTTCAATTATTCGTATAATTCTTATCATTATCGCTTCCGCACTGTGCACATGGCTACGTCATTCTCACGTGACGGCCATCATGCCTTGATCTCGGTCGGGGTGTGTCAAAGAACACGTGATATTTTTTTATTGGGACATTAAGTATGTCATCAAAATTATATTTAATGAGACTTTCAAAATTTTATGGACGATAATAACAGTATACGGATGAAGTGGCCCTCAACCAGAGAGGTGGAGAGAAGTGTTGCCTTTGCACTACGGCGTGGGTTCGAATCTCGTTGGTTCCCTAATCTAACAAATTGATCGTTTGACAAAAAAAAAATCATATTAAGAAAATTAGAATAGATAAATTAAAAATATAGGAGGAGTGCATATTGAGATTTTGGGAGTACTAATACTATCTCCCTTAAAATATTAATTTTAGTTATTTACAAATAGTTTGAACCATTTATATCAAACATTGTCGTAAGAGATTTTAGTTATTTACAAACACTTTTTCGGTCATTTTAAAAATATTTCAAACATATCTCTAACATGTATATCCGCTTAAATAAAATATATTCTAGGTTGTAAATAAACACTCTTAACACACATGTTATATTCAACTGAGAATGCGACCTAATGGTATTGCAATTGTTCTATTCTAGCAAAGGAATAATATCACAATATCCAACAATAGTAAGACACAATTTTTTTTTTTTTGTCAAACAATAAATAATTAATACTAAAGTGATTTAAACTATGAGAAAGGAGAGAATTTGAACTTAAACGGAGTAAGTTTAATGAGAAATGCTATATCCACTAGGTCAATCTAATTACTTGCAAATAAGACACATAATTTAATAGGAGATATTTCATTGCTCCTTAAGCTTTTATACGGTGACACGTGTAGGTTGTAGTTTGATATTTCTCAAGGGTCCCTCAACTAAAATTTATGGTCTCTTAATTTTAACTCAATTGAAGCAATGATCTCTCAACTAAAAATCCATTATCATTGGTCCCTTAACTCATCAAAACGTGCAGCTATGGTCCCTCAACTAAAAATTCATTATCATTGGTCCCTCAACTTTAATTCAACTGGAGAAATGATCCCTTAACTTTAACTCAATTGTAGCAATAATCATTCCAACATAACTTGTTTTGACAAATTTTTTGACATAGTTAACGAAAAGGACCATAATTACACACTTTGATGAGTTGAGGGACCCTAATAATATAAATGGTTATTCCAACATAACTTATTTTGACAAAATTTTGATGAAAATGACTATAGCTACACATTTTAATAAGTTGAGGGACCAATGATAATGAATTTTTAGTTGAGGGACCATTGCTCCAATTTGATTAGAGTTGAGGAACCATTGCTACAATTTACTCAAAATTTACAAACCAAATAATGTGTCTCCAATAGAAAATAAGCACGTTAATCAACACTTAAGTAATATTCAATCATCAACAACCACATCATTTGATTTGCAAATTTAATTTAAAAACTTTGGTCTCCCTGGCATTCATGTCGCTTATTGCTTTTTGTAATCCTAAACTTTTTAGGCCTGAAATTTTACGAGCCCCAAGGTTTGGGAAAGACTGACCTATACATGTTTGCACTGACATAGTTGTGTAGTTTGATGTTGTACGTTTGAACGTCTTCGGAAGTATTGTCTTAATGTTACAGATGAGATGTCAAAAGCGCGTGTATTAGTGTTTTTTTTTTTCACTTATAAATAAGATGTCTCAAGTTATACTCACATGCATCATGAATTTAATACTTAATACTTAATTATCATAATCTATTGTGTGATTTAGCATTGACATTTTACTTGTATATGATGACATGGTAAGGACCGTGATCGATAGCGGTGAATGATCAAGTCAAGTGGGTTCAGAGAGATTAAACTTAACCCGATAGAGTTAATATGAGTTTGGACATGAATTCAACACAATATTTCTACACTAAAGTACACACTAAAGGAAGAGAGAAATTGTTAAGATATGTTTGGGTGAGAGATTTATAAGTCCCAAGGAATTAAGATCAAGTTAGATAGAGAGGATTAGAAATGCAATAGCAAATGCATGTGTGAGAGATTTGTAAATGGCTACTTCCATGTAGTGTTTTGCAATCCCCTTACATGCCGTTGTAGTGCACATAGATAGCTTATCTAATCCCCTTTATTTAACGTTTTGAAGTCTTATTCTTACTAACTTGTTACTAATTTTGAAGTCTATGTCATAAATCACTCACTCGAAAACAACCTAACTGTTGTTAGGTGTTACTGGAGCATAATGAGAGAGATAAATATAGGGAACTTTAACGAAAAGCACCCGGTACTGTTCACTTTAACGAAAAACCATATTTTTACACTAAAAAGTCAATCCTAGTACTATTCATTTTACCCTTTATTTTGTCCTTATTATTAAAACTCAAAGTTTTCAAGCCCTTTTCATTAGTTTTCCTATAAATATATGATTGGTACTAAATAATGGAGAAGATTTTATACCAAGTTACACCTTTACTATTTTAATGACCGTGTGATAATCAATTCATTTTCAATTTTAGTTTTCACCTGTTGAAAACTAAGAAATGAAAGCTTGTTACCTTAACTGTTTTCAGTTTTGAAAACCAAAAGCTGAAAAGAATTGCCAAGAACACTATTCATTTTCTGAAAATAAAACTAAACATTAAAAATAAAAATCAAATAATCGTTTGGTAACTATTTCGTATTTTTACTTTTTTATTTTTGTTTTCACTTTTTATTAAAAAACTGAAAACTTGTTGAAATAAATAATTAAATTTATAATTTACACTTTATACACTAGGAAATTCAAAAAATTGTTTTTGAGATTAGATGGAAGAAGACGATGATTCCCGAACCGAGCAAGCGACCAACTTGGCCCACTGCCGCAATCTCGTCTTCATCTCCTCCGCATCGCCACCGTCTGAAACAAAATATCAAAAAACACGAATCAAAATCCCGCGGATAAAGAAAGGGTCCAAGATCAAATCAATCCAACGGTTCACATCAACCAAACCTGTTAACAAGCTCTTACTGCACTGCTTATTTACATCGTGGTAAAACTCCAAAGCAGGTAAAGTATCGGATAGTTTCCGGTCGACGTCGGGTAAATCGAACCCGAATCCGAGCTCAATACAGGCCTTCAGCTCCTCCAAATCATCGTCGGAAACGCTTTTGCTACGAACAAGGCGGCGCGTGCCAGAAATGCTCTTTCGACGCTGCCACGTCTCTTCCCGGATCGTGTCGGGCGACCACGAATTGTGCTTGTAGAGAGGGTGAGGCGGTGGTACGTGGGGGTTTTTCATGGTGTCGCCAAGGAAATGTCGGCGTCGTCGTCGTTTTGGACCTTTGGTGGCGGCCGGAAAGGATGAGGGTTTGGCGGCAGCGGGAAGGCATTTTTATAGATAGGTGTTGATTGGCTGCCACTTCAGAATAATGTCGTAGTGGGCCCCAGCTTGCGGGTCCGTACAAAGATGACAGTGAGATAGTAGTGGGCCACAGTTGGTGGAGTCTTTTATTTTAATTTTTTTATTTATAAGTTAATTACAAAGATGACAGGGATATAAATAAACAAGAAATGCGTGGTAGGTAAAAATAAGGATGTAAAAGGAGAAGATTCTTAATGTATAATATTTTATTGAATTTGAAACCTAATTATAATTATAATTATATACTTTTTTTGGTCAAACGTTAAATTAAATGTTAGATTAAAAACCGATAAAGTTCGAATTCCCGACCTTTTCACTACTATAACCATGATAAAGCGTCACTTGCAATTATAATTATAATTTATTAATGGTCAATTTTTCTTTATTATTTATTTTTCTAGTCCATGATGTCAAAGCGAAGCAAGGTGTCTGGACAGAAGCTGGCAAGGTGGAATGAGCCATAGCCGACGTGGAATCAACAGAAAAAAAAAACACAGGTAGATATTCTTACAACATTCTAAACGCTACCTTCACATCCAAGAATCAGATACGCATTCGGATCCCATTATAAAACTAGGATTGCAGGGAAGGTAAAACACGCAGGTAAGCTACAAGACTACAAGGTTTTTCACTGAGGAGCCTGTTGTAGAGAGATTCTCTTATATAACTAGCTTATTACTTGACAGTCGTTTACTGAACGTGCAATCCATTTTTTGAACATCGTCGTACCCAGTGCACAAGGCTCCCGCTTTACGCAGGGTTTTGAACATACAACAAAAAATATTGAACGGTAGTGCCACTATGACTAAATATTGATTATATGAGATAATCACTTTTCTTGTAGACTTTGACCAAGTTGGCAATTATCATTACAAGAATCAAAAGAATATGAATCTCCCACCGTAACATTAGCTCATATTTGCTGTCACCAATAATCCCCACAAGAGCAAGTTCCATCTTTAAAATGATGAAAACGGTTAGAATCCCTCACAATGATCTCCCTCTCCGTGATTACCGATATGAATTTCGTTGCGTTGTGGCAATCGCCGCAAACCCGCAAGTTCTTGAAGATCCGAATGGGTGTTTTCGGGGCTGTACTGATGATTCCGAATGCAATTGCCAATCTCTCACTGTGGCTGTTAAGGATGTGCTCTTTCTCGTCATCCTCGACATCCTGCAACACGAAGCTCAAGTCAGGAATGTAACCGAGGCTCTTCATTCTGGCGGTTAGATCCCTCAGCTTCTCATATATTTCTTCGCACTTTGGATGCGATTGATTTGCAGTGTAGAAGACATCAACGTTATTATTCACTTCTATTGAGCTCCATCCTGGAGTCTTCGTCAGTCCCCGATTTCTGGCCAGAGATCTCACTTTCTCTACACCTTCCCATTTCCCGAAATTTGCATATATGTTTGACAACAAAACATAGTAACCCACGTTCTCTGAATCAACTTCAAACAAGCGTTCGGAAGCAATCTTGCCCATTTCAACATTTCCATGTATTCTACAAGCGCCGAGTAGAGCACCCCACACAGACGCATCAGGCCGTACAGACATATTCTCTATAAAACTATATGCCTTGTTTAAATGCCCGGCTCTACCAAGCAAATCAACCATGCAGCCATAGTGCTTCAAACTAGGCTTGATTCCGTATTGTTCCTGCATCGTATGAAAGAACGATTGACCTTCATTGACCAAACCTGAATGGCTACACGCTGCCATTAAAGATACAAAGGTGACATGATCTGGCTTGACCCCCTCATCTAGCATATCATTGAATAGCTGCAGAGCTTTCTCACCATGCCCATGAACTCCATGACACGAAATTAAAGCATTCCAAGGGACCGAACTCTTCCTAGGAACTTGGGAGAACAGACACAATGCATCATCTAGTCTTCCACATTTTCCATACATGTCAATCAAGCAGGTTCCCACAAATACATCTGAGTAGACACGGTTCTTAATCACCCGTCCATGTACTTTCATCCCTTGTTGCAAGGCTCCCACGTGGGTATATGCTGGTAGAATGCTAACCCAAGTTCCATGGTTTGGAATTATTTCTTTGCATTGTTGCATCATGCGGTACACTTCAATTGCTTCACTTGCGTGACCATTTTGAGCATAGCCTGTGATCAAAGTATTCCATGAAACAGCATCCTTGGTAGGAAGTCCTTCAAAAACAGTACGTGCGGAATCTATAGCACCTAATTTAGCATACATATCCACAACTGCATTTCCAATGACAACATCTTCCACAAACCAATCTCTCCTCAAGATGAATCCATGAACAGACTTACTCTTTTCGGAGTCACTTAATTGAGCTAAAATTGAAGCCAAACTCACTAGTGTTAAAAAATCGGGCTGAATTCCGCGTAATTGCATGGCGTTAAATAATTCAAGTGCAGTGATTGGATCATTATTCTGCTCATATGCAGCAACTATTGAGTTCCATGAAACTAAATCTCTAACCTCCATTTGATCAAAAACCCTTCGTGCATGTCCCAAGCTACCAAATTTGGAATACATGTTAATCAAGGCATTGCATACAAACAGATCAAAGTCCAGTCCATGCTTTATGACATATAAATGAATCAGCCTCCCGCTTGAGATGTCGTTTGATTGAGCACAAGCAGTCAGCAGACTTGCAACAGTTACGCGATCCATCTTTATCCCCTCCATTCTCATTTCAACCAGGACATCCAATGCGTCTGCTGCATTTGCATTCTGACAAAACCCAGAAATCATTGCATTCCAAGACCCTGTATCTCGAATTGGCATATCATCAAACAATTTACGAGCAACGTAAATAAAACCAAAACGGGAATACATATGGATCAAAGAAGCGGCCACGAAGACATCCCATTCGAACCCCAGCTTTAGAACTCGACAGTGTATCTTCTTCCCGTCAACCAGATTCTCACAAGCTTTCAAGACAGGAGGAAAGGTGTAGAAATCAGGATGAAGATCAGAAGTCAACGAAAACTGAGAGAAACAATCTAAAGCTTCACGGAAGCGCCCGCTGCGAACATAAGCAGATACCATGGAATTCCAGGTATAGACATCTTTCCTTGGTATCGAATCAAATGTGCGGCGAGAGAATGACAAGTCGCCAAGGTAGGCATAACGATTGACAAGCTTGGCAGCAAGAAAGATATTCTGAGATTTTCCCAACACCACAAGATAAGCATGGAGTTGCTTAGCATGGTGAACATTTGTGCAGGAGTGGAATAGAAAATCGATATTATCATTTCTGTTATCATTCGCAAAGCCATCTGATGGCAGCTGCAAAGTATTTGTAGTTGATGAGAACGATTGACAACAAAGTCGATGTGAGGACAAAAATTTGGAAACATGCCTACCTCTGCAGGTGGGCACCAACCTGGAAACAGATATAGAAAACATCAGCCGGGCAGAGAATAAGCTTCGATTACACAAAACAAGCCATGTCAATTCCATATCCCTTCGGGACTACACATATTTTTATCGGTTACTAGAAGAAAACACTGTCAGCAAACATTGTGAAATGAAATTCAATCCACTTCATATAAAATTCCTACGACAACACGCATAAAACTCGAAAACCTGTCATTGTATCAGGAAACGTGATTCATTTGGACAAACAGGCATATCAAATGATAATTTTAACTGTGCCTATCCAATTTCTCTCATTCATTTACTACTCTAAAGTTTAAATTACCAATAAAAATAAGGAAAATACGTAAATAGTCATTTGCCCACACAAAAAGAGAAAAACTTCATCGGATTCCGAAGACTATTTCCCAGAAAGCGAACAAAAAACAAATTGTAGGGTAAAAACTAACAGAGAAAAAGGAGGTTTTTACCTCAACATACATGAAGGATTCAGAGAAATCCAAACGGTCAATGAGCTTCCTTAGCAGCACGGATGAATCCAATCATTGGGGGTTAAGGGTTTAGGGTTAGGGTTTAGGCTGGAAAGCAAAGCAACCTCCTTTTATGCTTTTGGGGTTTCTATTCGATTTGCTGTACACCAGAAATCCCTTTCGGGGTTTAGGGGTTTAGGGTTTTATCAGATTAGAGATGATACTTAAGAGGGAGCGATGGTGAGAGAGGATTTGGAATTTGGGCCGGGTTATAGTGGGGAACTGATCCAGCGCGGCCCATTATAGTTCTTTTTTAACAAAGCTGAAGTTTTATCAGCGGCCCGAAATACCATCATATATTTCAAACAAAAAAGAAGAACAAGATTACGGACTCATTTGGTAAGTACTTTTAAATGATGTAAAGCATTTTTAAGGAAAATAGTTTTTAGTTTCAAAAGCACTTGAAATGCTTTCTGCTAAAAGTATTAGTTATGTGCTTTTTGCTGGAAACACTTCAAGTGTTTTTTCATAATTAACATGTCTTGTTACTAAGGTATGGTTCTAAAAACGTTTTATCTAAAACAACTAACTTTAATCATTCAAAAACACTTGCCAGACGAGCTTTACGGTCCTATTTCAAATAAAAGCACTTATACTGAAATGGTTTTTAGGGAAGCAGTTTCAAACAGACTTCAGTCATTGTAATTAAGTGGCTATACCAAAATTCTTTTTGCCAGTTATTGTGTCCGTGTTTATTTACTCTAGTTTAGGCTTGCTTTGAACCTCATTTAGATCTCAAAACTAATACATTGACATGTACAGTGGCACAATCTTGTTTAGTAACATATTGTCAAACTTGAAATTTCGCAACCAGCTTAATTTAGTATTCTTTTCACACAAGATCTTGTCTTTGGTTTCTCGCTCTCCTAACACTTTATTTGAATCGCAAATGTATCACATATGCCATAAATGATAAATTATATTTTTTAAAGGAAAACAAAATACTCTTTAGGAAATCTTTGACACAACCAATGTTGCTCACCTAAAGTTCTCATTTAAAGGCTCTGTGAAGTTCTCTTTCATTTTGAACTCTTAGATTAATCTGACGATGACTTAATCAATAATCTTAAACCATATTTGTTACACCTTACAAAAAATAATAAATCCTATTTGAAACAAAAGGGGAAAAAGAAAAAGAGTTCACTTGTGAAACCCTTCCGTTTTCTTCACTTACCCGTCTCTCCCCCTTCCATCCCCTCTATCTCCCTCCCTCTCCTCCTCCGTCTGAGCTTTTTCTTTTCTTTTCATTTTTGCGTATGAATAAGGAGAGAGGAACAAAAATAAGATTTTGGAAAACTGCACATTGCAATTAAACAAAAACACTTCGGAAAGGAAAGAAGTTTTTCACTTTGATTTGATTTTTAAATTATAAGTACACCTACCAAAACACAAAACAAGATTCAAAGATTCAAAAGAAACCTTGCACATGTCACTAGAGCAGTTCCAACAATCTTCAATGGTAACCTAGTTCCAACAAATTTAGGGACTTTGATAAATGGGGAATTGATTATTAACCGTTCGATTTTTGTTTAAACGGATATGATTGAAGGATCTAGAGGATATGGATGAAAGAGATCCGAAGATGATCATATTCCTTGGATCTGGACCACTTGATAAGAGGTATAGCCCACAATACTCACAAGCACAAGAGGAACTTGCATTGTACGGGTACATCGACACATAGTGTCCCATGCCAATAATACAAAGATATATGTTAACATTTTTTTACATGTCCTTTTGTTATTGAGACAGAACACATCTGTGACATTAAACTCCCCATGTGCATATTGGCCTTCAATCTTATTTTTCTAATATATTTAATAATATCTTAGCTCTCATTGGGGGCATTTGTTTGCCCGTCTTAGCTCTCATTGGACTAGACTAGATTAAATATTAGTCTAGTGTAGTGTTTGTTTCCTTGTGGGACTAGTGTTAATGAGATTAACTAGGACTCGCTTTCATTAGAAACGTCGCTAGCTGGTCTTCACGAGTCCCCCCCCCCCAAAAAAAAACACAAGATTAGTTAAGAACTTCGCTTCATTTTGCTTGATTCACCTCCTCAACCTCGATTGCGTCATCTGGGTCGGCCGGATCTGGGTCCTGGGAAGCCCAAAAAGGCTATGATGGAGGGTGAGCTGATGAGGATCCAAAAATTGTTTTGATTTATTTTAGTGGGTAATGTTTATTTTTTTTATAGTTCTGATGATTTGATGATTGTTTAACTTAAATTTTAGAGTGGTTTGGTCAATTTTGGATTGCAAAATTGTTTCTTTGCTAAATTCGCCATTGATGTTTGTAGAGCTTTCGTTAAGACTAAACCAGAGAGAAAAGGAAGAAGTTGAAATATATTTTGATGAAATTGAAATGGTTTATATCTTTTGTTTTTTTTCTGGATAAAAAATAAACAGAATCTGCAAATTTGAGAGAGAGAGAGAGAGAGAGAGAGAGAGGTGCAGGGCGATGGAACTTGATTATAGAAAGATAATTTTTAGGATTTTGATTTTTGTGTTTTGGTTTTGAATATTTAGAATTGGTTTTATTAGAGATATGTTTTGATTTTGAATATTTAGAATTGGATTTTACTGGAGAGACAAGCTCACAACTATGGTTTTTCCACGTTCAGTGTTTTATTTGATTCTAGGTTTGAGTTGGACTTTTTGGTTCTATGCTCAACATTGTACAGACAAAATGTGTGATAAATGGTGAGAGAGAGAGAAAATGTTGGTATAAAAAAAATATCAAATTCCAAAAATATTTTAGTCCGCTTTGCTAGTTCGGCACTGCACCAAACACTTCATGATTCTTATACTGCTTAGTCCATGTTAAGCCAGTCCAACTTAGTCCCTGAAGCTAGTCCAGTCCGAGATAGTCTGGTGTAACAGACGCACCCATAAAGTATCAAACTACGGTTACATAATAATAAAATAAATTAACTTTTTCCAACATGTATATGATGAACATCTACCAAACTACCAATGCATCAAACAAAAGAAACAAAATTGATTGTGGCTCCATTTTAGCGTTGTATGATAAGACGTTGAAATTCGTAAGCTTCGGCTCAGGAGTTTAGAGCTAAAATTGCTAAGACCAAGACTTATCCTTACTAAAACAAGAAAGACTCATTTAAACTTTTTGTGTGCACTCAACTACCATTCAGATAGTGATGACAATAAACATTGTATCAACATAAAATATGAGACTATCCACAAAAGATTGTTGTTGAACGTTGCTAATGACTTAGACTAAAAAGAGAGGCAAGACTTTTAATTTCTTCTGTTTGCTAGATCAATTCCCATGGGTCCAACACCCGAAAGTTAGGGCATGACCAAAAACATCCAATTAGGTAAAAAGGCATTGGACCTTCCATATATTTGACTAAATCAAGCTTTGATCTATATTTAGTGACCTCACCATACACTATCCAATTCAAAATCATCACCATGTATTGCAACTTAAGGACAAACTAAAGAGCAAAAGAGTCAAGGCTTTCTTCCTAAGCAAGTAATAATATCATTAAACCTAGACACACAAAACATCAATTACCTTCTTTATTTGCTTATCTTGTAGATAAGCACGACCTCCTTCTCCCGAAAGTGCTTTTGGATTTGACTTATTAACGGTTCATTTTTTTCAAATAAAAAAAATATAAAAAAAAAGAAAAAAAAAGGAAAACGAAAGTCCATACATATCACATGATCACAAGTTCACAACCCAACAAAATAAATAAATAAAATCCTCATACTGTGCCCACCATTATCAACCAATAAAACAACCAAAAGATCTCGCACTCCAATCAACCTGTCGGAAAGCCCCATCAACGGCGGAGATCACTCCACGTTTCGTTACCACAGAAGCCAGACATCAAATCACGATCTGAGCTCCTGATTGGTCCACGTTTCGAGATCTGATCGTTCAACCACCCACTTCAGTATTAAAAAATCTAAAATTCCAAATTCGTAGCCTCCGAGCCGACCTTAAATATGGACTCGTGTCGAGGCGGCACAAGACACCTGTCGCCTCCACGCATCGCAGACAAAGCCGAAGGCTCGGAGAAACAGTCTCTCTCCTCTCTCTCTCTCTCCAGCGAGCAGTCACCCCCTCAATTTTCCAAAAAAAAAAAGGAAAAAAATTAAAAAGAAAATTAAGGTAATTAAGTCCTTCTCTTTCAGCGTTTTTCTTTCTGTCTTTTAGTTTATTTTTCGTTTCAGCTGATTTTTTTCTTCTGTTTATTCGGTTTGTCTTTATCTGATTTAATACAGTTTACTCATTATTCAATTAATTTAGCCACTGAATTTTTCTGGGTTTTATCCTTTCTTTTAGCTTTAATTGTTTTTGTTAGGCAGGGAAGCAACTTTATGCAGTTTGTTTGATGGGTTGTTGTTCTAGCTTTTTTGGTGGTGAAATTTTGGAGTAAAAATATGATTAGGGTTTTGATTTGTCTCTTAGTTTCTAATGGAAAGATTGAAACTTTTTCTAATTTGTTGGGGGTCAGTAAGATTTAGAGAAACGGGTTATTTTTGGATGACAGTCATGAATTAATGGAGCCGGAGAATTTGGAAATTCTTGTTAGTTTGTTTTTGGTGTAAATTTGTGGATCTGAAGCTAAAGAATATGCAATGGAAAAGTAATGGTAATTTGCAAATTTGATCTGAATCTTGTGGAAAGGTGTGGAGGATAAGTTGATTGCTTCTGATGATTTTTCACACTCTGTCCTGCTTCTTCATAATTGCAAATTCTTGAAAATGGGATCTTGTGTCATGATTTCAGTGTTGTCAAGCTGCTGTTGGTGGATTGAATAAAGCCACTGTTTTGATTGTTTTCATTGATTTGTCTGTTTCTTCAACTTAGGGGTGTGTTGGAATTTATTCTCCCATGTTTCGTTTGTCTAGTCACTAGTGGTTGTTGTGCGCGTACGATCCACTGAGGTTTAACCCTGTGTGTCACTTCGATTCGTTTTTAAAAATGGTTATTGAAATGTATAGTCCTAGTAAATTTTCTGTTTCGTTTACCTATCATTTTCCTGATTTTTGTATGAACGTGGCTGACTGAGTGAATTGGATGTACATATAGAGTTGTTTGCACAGCTAGCTTTCAAGTTTAGAAGATGGGGTCTAATTTCAACTTCAAGAGCTTTGGTGAAGCACCACCAGTGGAAGGCAATGGTGGGAGGGCAGGAGGAAGTTTTGGATTGGCGCGGCAGTCTTCGGTGTACTCATTGACGTTTGATGAGTTCCAGAACACGATAGGTGGACTTGGGAAGGATTATGGATCAATGAACATGGATGAACTGTTGAAAAATATAGGGACCGCTGAGGAGACTCAAGGCATGACGGCTACTTCTGGGGTCGGAAGGGAAGTAAATGCCCCGGGGGGTAATTTGCAGAGACAAGGTTCGTTAACGTTGCCGCGAACGCTTAGTCAGAAAACGGTTGATGAGGTTTGGAAAAATTTGATTAGAGAGACTACTGATGATAAGTATAATAATGTTGCTGCCGGTTCGAATTTGCCACAGAGACAACAAACTTTGGGAGAGATGACTTTGGAGGACTTTTTGGTGAAAGCAGGGGTCGTGAGAGAAGATATACAGCCACCAGTTGTAAGGCCTAATAATGGTGGATTCTATGGTGAATTATACCGTCCTAATAACAACGTTGGTTTGGCTTCCGGCTTTCAACAACCGAATATAAGCAACGGTATTTTGGGGAATCGAGTTGCGGACAACAAAAATTCAGTTCCAATTCAATCTCCTACTTTAGCACTTAATGTTGGTGGAGTGAGAACTTCTCAGCAACAAACGCTGCAGTTGCCCCCACAACAGCAGCCACTCTTCCCCAAGCCTACAACCGTGGCGTTTGCCCCTTCTATGCATTTGGTAAACAATGCTCAGCTAAGTATCCCAAGAACTAGGGGACCAATGGCTGGGGTTGTGGAACCTTCTATTAACACCGCTTTCTCTCAAGCTGGAGGGTTTCCGGGTGCAGGAATTGGCGCGGTTGGTTTGGGCACTGGGGGCGGTGCAGTTGCAACAAGATCTCCTGCAAATCAGATATCACCGGATGTAATTGCTAAGAGCAGTGGGGATACATCTTCATTGTCGCCGGTACCTTACATGTTTAACCGGGGAAGGAAGTGCAGTGGAGCTGTGGAGAAAGTAGTTGAGAGAAGGCAAAGGAGAATGATAAAAAACAGAGAATCTGCTGCAAGGTCTCGCGCTCGTAAACAGGTGACCCCATTGGCTCTCTGCTGCCACCATACATTTAAATACTATCTCGATGTGTTGCCCATTGTATTTTGAAATGTGACTTTAATTTGTTGTGTTCGAGTGGTCTTGTGGTTTAGCTGTAGTTTTAGACCTATATTTTGATGTCTAGAGTGGTGGCACTTTGTGCATCAACCTGCATTTCAGCTGAACCATACAAATGTATAGTTTTTCTGTGAGAACATTAAAGATGCATACTTTCGGATATTTGCATTCACATGTAGAATTCTTAATGATCCCTTTTCGTGACCAAGTAAGGACATGATCTCCCGCCTAAATCTTCTGACTTAAACAAAATCATCGTGATGCTTTGTTGAAAGTTGAAACTGAAATCCCTACAAACCCTAATCTTTTACAAGTCTTCTGGTTTTACTATCAAAGGCTCTGTGAGGAACAAACAAGTAGAAATAACCGATTGTAGCTTCCAATTAAAGGTTTGTTAGCTTTTTGTCTATGCAAATGGGTGCTATTTATGTACCTAAAAATCTATAGAGCATCTACTCATATTTGATGTAACCCAATGAGGAGGTTTTGTGGTGTCGATATGATTGTATCATTGTATGAATGCATAAAGCAGCCTTCTGCACTGCCAATGTACAAAGTTCCAACGTGAATCGTTTCCTTCAAAAGTCACTGAAGGCTAAACGTCTTCAGGGATTTTGACCTTGAGATGATTTCTGAATCCTAGAACAGCTCTGTCAATTAATGGCGATCTGCTTTGTTCCTCCTTTTGTTTAAGAAAGACGATTGATAATTGTTTAAACCTTTTGTTTTCGGTTTCCTGCAGGCCTATACCTTAGAACTAGAGGCAGAAGTTGCAAAACTTAAAGAAATGAACGAAGAATTACAGAAAAAACAGGTACATGATATATTTACATTAAAGCATAATTGTCTATCAACCTGGTTGTCCTAGTTTCGCTAACCCTCCTCGACTTCACTTTGGTTCTCTGCAGGAGGAAATTGTGGAAATGCAGAAAGATCAGGTACATCATTGTTCATATCTCTCCAGTCTCTATGTAATTCATTGCTCTCAGAAAAGATAACCAATGAAGCAAAACAAGTATATTTCTTCGAGTGTTCACTTGCATCTTGATGCATTTTAACTGCAAAGTAAACTGACCGATCCCGTTTTCTGAATGTGTTGACAGATGTTGGAGACAATGAAGCGGCAATGGGGAGGTAAAAGGCAATGCTTACGACGAACATTGACAGGCCCTTGGTAACTCGGATGAAATTGGACTGCGAATATAATAAGATGAGTGCTCGAGTTTACGAACATTATAGGTAGTACGGTACAGAGATTGGAGCTTGTATCTGATATCTGAATCCAATCTTATACTAGAAACAGTAGGTAACTGGTCTGTATAGGAGAGGAGTGTTGAGTTGTAAATTATAAAACTAATTAAAGTTAATTAGTCTCATATTGTAGATTAAACTTCTTGCGTTTTTGGTGGACTCTTTGCTTCTCATTTGATGGCAGGGGGAATCTAGTTTAATTAAACAAGTCATATTTAGACTACCTTAGTATTTTTTATCTACTTAATTAACACGTTTCTGCCGCTCATATAAACTGATTTCACTTGCAAGGGGACCAGTTTATAGTTTAGTTGGCTAAATGCATTTACTTTTCACCTCAACTCCTGCGTTCTAATCCACCACTATCTATCACTTGTATCAACATTCAAAAAAAAAAAAAAAAGCATATTCTTTTGGTTCATGGTGCATTTTGATATTTTAATTCTTATTTACAACGATACAAAGTTGATATAATAAGGTTCAAATTTTAATTACCATTTTCATACCAATATTTGGATATATAATTCAGGAAATAGTGGTTTTTTTTTTTTGGATAAAAGATACGATATTAGTGGGAATAAGGAACCATAACAAGAGGATAGCAGAATAAATAGCAGAATAAAAGACAATGAACCTTGAAAAGGCCTTGCTGGGGCTGCCAACTCAGAATCAAGGAAAGAATGGGCCACCAAATACATCAAATGACAAATACTAGAAGGAAAAATACGTAACACTATCCTCTAACAAGACATCTACAACTAAATCTGGAGGTTCCTCAAACCAAATCACCTCCTGTTGCAATCCAATTCCAGCTCGTGCACGTCAATGGCCCACTTGGTTGGCTTCTCTTTGGACCAACAGGATCCTCTCCGGATCCTTTTGGTGAGGATCCTGAGGATCTGTAAATCGTGTCCGTTTATCATATATCGTGCGGTCAGTTTTTGTCAGGTACTTTTTGCATTTAATTTTAAATAAAAATATTTAAAATGATTTCTAACCGTACGATGTACGATGAACCAGATAAGATTCACGGATCCTCACAAAGAGGATATGGATTCCTCTTTGCATATGGCTGAATCGTGCATTTGATAACCCTTGTAAGATCATCTCCAACCAAAGGGTCCAAAGGGCCGAAAAATGGCTCAAAAACTGTCTCCAACTGAGGGCCAGGCCAAAGGGCTCGTGGACCCCACTGGACAAAAAAAGGCCAACCAGCTGTTATTTTTTATTTAAATTTCTTTTTAACAAAATTTATTTAATTTTTTTTTAAATTCTATGTTTTTTTCCTATAACTTCCTAAGCCATTAAACAACATTAAATTAAATTAAGTAACATGAAATAACATTAAACAATATGAAACAACATTAAACAACATTAACCAACATAAAAATTATACAACATAAAAAAAAATTTAACAGGTATGAAACTTAAACAACATTTTTAAAAACATTTAACAACATAAAACTTAAACGCCTACTCCATGCTTCTTTTGGCACAAAGACGTGCAACAAAATCCTGTTGTAGATACTTGTTTGTGGCACGGGAACGTATCATCCTATAGCACCTCATGTACTCATTTATAGAGATACTACCAGTTATTGGATTGAAAGGCAAATTAGGCCCATCATATATTTTTGCACAAGCCCTTCTTGACCTATTTGGATCCTCTTGGTCGTCATCCGACTCTCCATCAATATACCCATTTAAGTTGTTGTACTCATTTAAGTTGTTGTAGTTTTTAAATTTAAATAATAAATTATGTTTGGTCATATGACCCTCGGTTGGAGACGGTTTCTTGTGACAAGACTAAAATGAGCCCTATGACCCTTTGACCCTCGGTTGGAGATGGGAAATATGGCTATGCACTATTCATTAAAATATTAATTTTTTGGAGGGCTAGATGGCTAAAATGAGTCATCTGGCACTCCTTCGGTTGAAGATGGTCTAAGCAATCCCCTATATCATTAATAATTGGTTCCACTCCTTTTGCATGGCTGCCATGGCCACGATAGTCTCTCTCTCAAAATGCAACACCACCCCCCAAAAAAAAAAAAAAAAAAAAAATCTCCAGCAAGATGGTCATCAGGAAATACTAGATAGTAAAGCTCATTATTCTCAATCGGATCACATGTCCTATTTGTGCAATATAATACACAATTGAGAACAAGGAGTGAAATCTATATTGAACACACGCAATTGTGCTCTTAAAGTTACAAGTCCTTCGTACGCTTGATGATGAAAGACTTAGTTTTTCATATAACCGAAGTGGTGGTAAAATATCTCAAGGTGGAGAGTAGGTGTTTTGTGAGCAAGCAAAAGTATTAATGATAGGGTCCTAAATTTTCTATTTTTCATAATTAATTACTAGCCAAAACATTCTTGTAGTATTAACGATATTTGTAGCTCAACAGAACAATAATCCGTTGTAGTCTAGTTGGTCAGGATACTCGGCTCTCACCCGAGAGACCCGGGTTCAAGTCCCGGCAACGGAATAACCTTTTTGTTTTTTGGTTTCCCTACTATTTTTCCATTTGCACCTGTTCTTTCAGAGTCTTCACATTCCTCATCAACTTTCCATCCAAAAGACATAAAAGTTGAAAACATTTACAGCCGGCCGTACCAACAAAAATATTCTACATAACATTCAGGCCTTTCCATCTCCAACACATTATTTTTTACATAAATTGCTAAAGCTAGAAGCCTGGACCGGTGAATCAGCAGTGTCGTGTAATGCAATGATGACGTATCTGTTTTGTGAACGGGCACTTGGGAAACGGATGGACAAACTCAACACTCAAAAATCCATCCAAAACTGCTTGGTAACTAGATTCTCCTTCCGTTGCCTATTATGAGTTGGGCAGACTATACTCTTCATGGCTAAGGGCTGAAGAAAGTATCGCCTTCCATCCGCAAGGACTTCTCACTCTATCAGTCTAGATCATCCTAACTCCTCGGGTAATCATAAACGAGGCCTTCTGCAACACTTCTTGCCCTTGCATGACCATGTAGTTTGCTCACAATAGCTAACGCAAAGTCTGTGACGGTAGAAAGTCCTCTGCTTGTAATCAGTTTACCATCGATAACTACTTTGGTGCCATTTATCACTTCATTTGTGAGTTTGCTTACAATGGAAGGATGAGCGGTGGCTTTCTTACCCTATATTTTGCAAAGAAAGCATAAGGAATCATATAAGCAAAAAATAAACATTAAAAATATAGAAGAAAGAAAAGAAAATTTTATGGTACCTTCAATAAGCCTTGTTTATGTAGGATTGCTGGCGACGAACAGACCGCTCCATATACTCTTCCAGCTAGTTCTTGTTCTTTGAGGAGGTTCTTTAGAATCCTAGATTTGCTTAGCCGCTCAGCCCCAGCATTTCCTCCCTGTCAGAAGGAACCAGAACCGCTGAATGGTCTACTTTGTAACAGGGAAATATCTTTTTTTTTTTGTCACACAGTTACCAACAAAACAAAAGCGTATATAAATGCAACAGTACTTAAGAAGTGCCTATCTATCTAATACTGAATACGTATATACACCTCTACAACCCATTTCAGGAATTAATAATTCTACATTTTGCTTTTTCATTTTGATTCTGCACTGCACAACGCTAAAGATAAATACCATCACCAAAGTCAGAATTCAGTATTTACGCTTCACAACTTAATCTTAGATCTTGATAGTTTGTTTAAGAACATAAGAAAGATAAATGTATCACTAACTATTCAGTTTGTCTCACCGGAAGAATGATTAAGTCGTATGTTGACTCTGCAGCAACACCAATCAACTTGTCAGCAATGATTTTGGTGCCTTGAGATCCTAAAATCCGCACAGATTTTTCAACTGAAGCAACTATAACATCCACATGTGCTCGTCTCAGAATATCTACAATAGTTACTACTTCAATATCTTCGGATCCATTTGCAACTGGAATCAGAACCTGCATGACAATAGAATGATAAAAAGCTTCTTACGCCAAAAGAGGGAAACACAGAGAAATAGAATGACAGGCAGAGGATACTATACAACAACAACAACAACAAAGCCTTTTCCCACTAAGTGGGGTCGGCTTGGCAGAGGATACTATGTAATAAAAAAATCTAGACAGTTCATGACCAACAACAACAAAGCCTTTTCCCACTAAGTGGGGTCGGCTATATGAATCCTAGAACGCCATTGCGCTCGGTTTTGTGTCATGTCCTCCGTTAGATCCAAGTACTCTAAGTCTTTTCTTAGAGTCTCTTCCAAAGTTTTCCTAGGTCTTCCTCTACCCCTTTGGCCCTGAACCTCTGTCCCGTAGTCACATCTTCGAACCGGAGCGTCAGTCGGCCTTCTTTGCACATGTCCAAATCATCGGAGCCGATTTTCTCTCATCTTTCCTACAATTTCGGCTACTCCTACTTTACCTCGGATATCCTCATTCCCAATCTTATCCTTTCTCGTGTGCCCACACATCCCACGAAGCATCCTCATCTCCGCTACACCCATTTTGTGTACGTGTTGATGCTTCACCGCCCAACATTCTGTGCCATACAATATCGCTGGCCTTATTGCCGTCCTATAAAATTTTCCCTTGAGCTTCAGTGGCCTACGACGGTCACACAACACGCCGGATGCACTCTTACACTTCATCCATCCAGCTCGTATTCTATGGTTGAGATCTCCATCTAATTCTCCGTTCTCTTGCAAGATAGATCCTAGGTAGCGAAAACGGTCGCTTTTTGTGATCTTCGCTAGATTGCTCCGGTCATTAGTGTGGATAAGTATATAAATGGATAGAGATAGGAAAGCAAACACAAGATGTACGTGGTTCACCCAGATTGGCTACGTCCACAGAATAGAAGAGTTCTCATTAATTGTGAAGGGTTTACACAAGTACATAGGTTCAAGCTCTCCTTTAGTGAGTACAAGTGAATGATTTTGTACAAATGACATTAGGAAATATTGTGGGAGAATGATCTCGTAATCACGAAACTTCTAAGTATCGGAGTGTGGTGTCGTCTTGACTTGCCTTATCTGTCTCATAGGTAGATGTGGCATCTTCTCTGAAAGTACTCTTCCTCCATCCAGGGGTGGTATCTTTAACTGGTGGAGATGCACAAGGTAATGTATCAATTTCACTTGAAGCTTACTTGTAGTCTCAGGCTTGGTCAAGCGCGATACAAACCATGCAGTAGGAGTCCCCCAAGTCGCCGAGCTAGGGGGTCTGCTGAAAGAGGTGACAGACAAGGTAAGCAATCAGAGCTCCGACTGATTGTTCACCTTCTCCCCATCTTGCAGCAGCATGAAGGATAAAGAGAAGAAAAATGAGAAGAGATGATATGAGATACTTTTGCTTTTGAAGAAGTAACTTTCCACAGGCTTATTCTTGAACTGAAGAATTTGAGGGTCAAAACAAGTCCATCAAATCTAGAGTACGTTCCACCCTACTGATATGGGATACTTTTGCTTTTGACAGAGTAATGGGTGTATCGGCACGTGTGCTGTTACGCTTGTCTCCACATGCTTCCTTGTATCCTTCGCACTTGCCCTATCTGTTCCTCAAGCAGATGCAGAATCTTCCCTGGAAACATAAGATGTTGAAGATGAGTACTCGAGAGCAATGCCAGGTAAGTAATCAGGTAAGGGGTTCCAGGCAGTCAGTTCCTGGCTGGAAGCTTGATTCCAAGTGCTGACTGATTGCTCTCTTTCTCCTTGTCTTGCAGGTAAAAACAAGGCCAAAGGAAAAGACAGGGAAAAAGCATGATATGAGATACTCTTGCTTTTAACCCTGATGATATGAGATATTCTTGCTCTAGTATAGCTTGTTTGCAGAGGTATTATCGGGGGGAAGAAAGCTGAATATTTCGAAAGGCTTCGTTGGGAGTGCCCTCTCAGATATGATGAAGGGTTGAGCATTTTTGCAGGTCTGCCTGTCCGTTGGGGATGGAGGTCGACATATATAGGAGTCTCCCTAACAACAAGTAGTAATGCTATTCCTTTACCCTGCTTGGTCATAGCACGGTAGTGGGAGCTGCCAGTTGCAATGGTACTGTTCCTTTACCCTCTCTTCGCTTTTGAGAAAGTAGTCATGTTGGGAGTCTGGCTCTCGAGATTCGGAGGACGGTGCCTCTTCGATTTTGGAGCAAGCAATCTTGTTGGGAGTGTTTTCTCGAAAGTGAGTAAAGGTTGGGCATGTTTGCTAGTCTACCTTGCCACGAAGCACAGAGGTTGACACACAAGGACTTTCCAATTATCCAGCAGTGGTACTGTTCCTTTACCCTTGTGGGTAATAATATGGTAGCTAGACCTTCAACATTTATGTGTCTAAACTTTGTTAGTGCTGTTTCTTTGCTATTCTTTTTACCTTTCTTGGTCAGAGCGATGTAGTGGGAGCTGCAAGCTTCACGTGCTCAACTTTGGCAGAGAACTTTGGCAAAGTTATCTGTGGTACCCATGAGCTATTGTTGCGTGTGGGAAGTGGGTGATTGAACAATAAGATTCATGTGCTTTCTACTTCACCAGAAGTCTTCGACAGAATGCCCATAATTTCTGCAAAGCTGAGTGTGCGTGTGACAGGTGCTGACAAGGCTAGAAAAGTAGGTGCCTCTTCGATTTCTGAGATCGGCCCTCGTGGTCTCTGAGCAGCCCAGCTTTTGAGAAAGCGAGCGCCTCTTCGATTGATTCGGAGAACGATGCCTCATCGATTTTTTGAGAAAGCAATCATGCTGGGGGTCTGGCTCTCGAAGATTCGGGGAGCAGTGTCTCTTCGATTTTTGAGAAAGTAATCACGTTGGGAGTCTGGCTCTCGGGATTCGAAGGGCGGTGCCTCTTCGATTTTGGAGCAAGCAATCTTGTTGGGAGTGTTTTTCTCGAATGTGAGTAAAGGTTGGGCATGTTTGCTAGTCTACCTTGCCACGAAGCACAAAGGTTGACACACAGAGACTTTCCAATTATCCAGCAATGGTACTGTTCCTTTACCCTCTCTTCGATTTTTAAGAAAGTAGTCATGTTGGGAGTCTGGCTCTCGAGATTCGGAGGACGGTGCCTCTTCGATTTTGGAGCAAGCAATCTTATTGGGAGTGTTTTCTCGAATGTGAGTAAAGGTTGGGCATGTTTGCTAGTCTACCTTGCCACGAAGCACAGAGGTTGACACACAGGGACTTTCCAATTATCCAGCAGTGGTACTGTTCCTTTACCCTTGTGGGTAATAATATGGTAGCTAGACCTTCAAAATTTATGGGTCTAAACTTTTGTTAGTGCTGTTTCTTTGCTATTCTTTTACCCTTCTTGGTCAGAGCGATGTAGTGGGAGCTGCAAGCTTCACGTGCTCAACTTTGGCAGAGAACTTTGGCAAAGTTATCTGTGGTACCCATGAGCTATTGTTGCGTGTGGGAAGTGGGTGATTGAACAGTAAGATTCATGTGTTTTCTACTTCCCCAGAAGTCTTCGACAGAATGCCCATAATTTCTGCAAAGCTGAGTGTGCGTGTGACGGGTGCTGACAAGGCTGGAAAAGTAGGTGCCTCTTCGATTTCTGAGATCGGCCCTCGTGGTCTCTGGGGAGCCCAGCTTTTGAGAAAGCGAGCGCCTCTTCGATTTCTGAGATCGGCCTTCGTGGTCTTTGAGCAGCCCAACTTTTGAGAAAGCAAACGCCTCTTCGATTTCTGAGATCAACCCTCGTGATCTCTAAGCAGCCCAGCTTTTTGAGAAAGCAAACGCCTCTTCGATTTCTGAGCAGGCGCCTCTTCGATTTCTGAAGCTCCGTCGAGTGCAGATTTTTATAGAGGCTGACATTAAGTTCCAAAGCACACTTGAATCTCCACCAGTAGAAGCTTCATTCTTGCACTTCTAAGATCTTGATTTGTCCGACCTCTTCTCTCTTCAACACCTTTGAAAATGTCTGGCCCCTCCGACCGTCGTTTTGACTTGAACCTTGTTGAAGAGGCAGCCCCGCCTTCTCCAGACAACATATGGCGCCCATCCTTCGTCTCCCCTACTGGTCCTCTTACCGTTGGAGATTCCGTGATGAAGAATGATATGACCGCTGCGGTGGTGGCCAGGAACCTTCTCACTCCCAAAGATAACAGACTACTTTCCAAACGGTCTGATGAGTTAGCTGTTAAGGATTCGCTGGCTCTCAGTGTTCAGTGTGCAGGTTCTGTGTCTAATATGGCCCAACGCCTATTTGCTCGAACCCGCCAAGTTGAATCCTTGGCGGCTGAAGTGATGAGTCTCAAACAGGAGATTAGAGGGCTCAAGCATGAGAATAAACAGTTGCACCGGCTCGCACATGACTATGCTACAAACATGAAGAGGAAGCTTGACCAGATGAAGGAAACTGATGGTCAGGTTTTACTTGATCATCAGAGATTTGTGGGTTTGTTCCAAAGGCATTTATTGCCTTCGTCTTCTGGGGCTGTACCGCGTAATGAAGCTCCGAATGATCAACCTCTGATGCCTCCTCCTTCTAGGGTTTTGTCCAGTACTGAGGCTCCAAATGATCCCCCTCCGGTGCCTTCTCTCTTTCTGGGGCTCTACCGACTGCTGAGACTTCTCCTAAGCAACCTTTGTGAAGGCTCCGTCTTGTGTGTTTATTTTGACTCATGTATATGCACATATTTGTAGCTGATCGGGGATATCAATAAATAAGCTTTCCTTCATTTCAACGTATTGTGTTAAATACACCAAAGCCTTCTTCGCTAAGTTCTTTGAATTTTCTTTTTTTGTTGAAGCTTGTATGTTGAAGCTTTCTGAGTGGAGCATGTAGGTTGGGGTAGTGTTCCCTTAATTTCCCGAGTGAGGAAAACTTCTCGGTTGGAGACTTGGAAAATCCAAGTCACTGAGTGGGATCGGCTATATGAATCTTAGAACGCCATTGTGCTCGATCCTGTGTCATGTCCTTCGTTAGATCCAAGTACTCTAAGTCTTTTCTTAGAGTCTCTTCCAAAGTTTTCCTAGGTCTCTTCCTCTACCCCTTCGGCCCTGAACCTCTGTCCCATAGTCGCATCTTCTAATCGGAGCGTCAGTAGGCCTTCTTTGCACATGTCCAAACCACCGTAACCGATTTTCTCTCATCTTTCCTTCAATTTCGACTACTCCTACTTTACCCCGGATATCCTCATTCCTAATCTTATCCTTTCTCGTGTGCCCACACATCCAACGAAGCATCCTCATCTCCGCTACACCCATTTTGTGTACGTGTTGATGTTTCACCGCCCAACATTCTGTGCCATACAGCATCGCATCGCCGGCCTTATTGCCGTCCTATAAAATTTTCCCTTGAGCTTCAATGGCATACGGCGGTCACACAACACGCCGGATGCACTCTTCCACTTCATCCATCCAGCTTGTATTCTATGGTTGAGATCTCCATCTAATTCTCCGTTCTTTTGCAAGATAGATCCTAGGTAACGAAAACGGTCGCTTTTTGGTATTTCTTGATCTCCGATCCTCACCCCTAACTCGTTTTGGCCTCCATTTGCACTGAACTTGCACTCCATATATTCTGTCTTTGATCGGCTTAGGCGAAGACCTTTAGATTCCAACACTTCTCTCCAAAGGTTAAGCTTTGCATTTACCCCTTCCTGAGTTTCATGACCAAAATAAATAAATGTAGGCAGTCATGTAAAAGTGTAATCAGAAATGTGAACCGGGTTAAGAGTCAAAGGAAAAGAGCGCAGAGGTGAATTGTTATCCAAAACATATTTTCTCGTTAATCATAATGAGCATTTCAAAATTTTTTAGATGGCAAAGAAATTTGAAGTTCATATACGTTATTTGTAGAGGAGGCTGTTCTGCATCCAATCGAATTGCATATCTATAGATCAAGGTTACAAAAGATTAGTCATGAAGCAGAAATAAAAGAAACTTACTCGAGGGATGTGATCAAAAGACCATTCAACGTCATTAAACTCCTCCTTTTTAGATTTCTCATCATCAGGACAGATCAACTAATACAAGAGATGCAGAGTATTAGCTCAAAGCTATCACAAAAAAGGTATTACGACACTGAAAATGAGAAGGAAATACCATAGAAATACAAAGAACCTGAAAAGGAACATCTTTATTAGATGAAGAAAACCATAGTTTACGCAGGCTTTTCCTAGAGACAGTCTGACAAAGGATGGAGTTTTTTGGATAAAAGAATTGCAAAGTTGATACAATGACTTCACAGACATGAATGCTCACTCAAACGCTTGTATAATGAACAAAAAAATGAGACAGGATTTTACTGAGCATCTATGTCAAGAATCAAGCTAAAGCATGAGTTGGGACACACTAACATTACACTATTACAGTAGTAGGGCTCACCACTCACCAGCGATTCTCCAATTTCCTTGGCAATGGATTCCCCAAATAGCTGTTCTACTAGGCAAAGGGCAAACCCATAAGAAGTTCCAGGGCCACGGCTTGTTGTGAGTCCTCCTGACACCTGAATGTTTGATTTGACTGCCCAGAACGTCGGAAGCTTGTGCATGAATGCAGGGTGGCAAGTAGTCTTGCATAACACACTAACAACCATTAGCCGGAAAAACCACACTGAAATTGACAAAATTTTGAAAATTTAACCAACAACCCACCTGCCTTCTCTTTAAAAGACCCCATGGCAGAAGTGTTACTGCCGGAGCAGCACATATGGCTCCATATAACCTACTTTCCTCAGCCTGCTTTCTTGTAATTTCCTGGAGTGCTGCACAGTCTCTTAGCCTCACTGATCCCGGCATTCCTCCCTTAAATACACATAAAAATCATCAGTGGATGCTATAAGTTGTCAAACTTAAACACAAGACCATCACCGAACTTTCTAATATATTGATCTAGTCAATTGAAAGGCAAAAGTTCAGGCGTGCAAACGAATCGCAAGAATTCCAAAATAACACCTCCAGAATCCAGAATACCTTGTGCCTACAATTTGTATTGCTTCAAACTATAGATGCACACTATTACACTTCTTTTAAACTTTCTCTAGCTCGAAAATTAAAAGAAGACAACTTTCTGTGGCTCTCATTCTTGTTTAAAAAACTTTGGTTGCTTTAGTAATAAGTTTCATCATGCACGGTATCCCCATAACCAGTAACTACGAATGGTTAACAATCTCAATGACCAATTTACGTGTATGTACCGCATTTTATCACTAGTTCATTACTTAATAAACTAGAAATTCATGAAACGTAAAGGTCAAGAACAACTAACCGGCAGAGCCACAAGATCAAAAATTTGATCGGAACACGAGGAAATGGAGGTGTCAGCAACCAGTTTAGTACCGCAAGAAGCTTCAATCTGGAGCTGCGGCTCCACGGAGGCCACGGTAACATCAGCACCAGCTCGGCGCAGAACATCAACTATAATGACAGCTTCCATTTCTTCCGTCCCATACCCAATTGGAACCAGAACCTGCGCATAATACACAAAAAAAAAAAAAACTAAAAAAAATTAATCTCTCTCTCACTTAAAGTTCCGTTTGGTTTCCGAGAACGTAAAGATCACAAACCCAACAACCCATTTTTTTCAAAGTTTCCATTTTTCTCATCCATTTTCTCAGCAACCAAACAACATTGACGGAAAAGCTAATGTGGGTATTGCGAAAAGACCTTCTTGGGAGGCACCGAAATTGGGTTTGTTGTTGCTGTTGCGGAGAGGGTTTTAGTGGGTTTTGCAGAGTGTATTGAAGTAGGTGTTCTTCTCTGTGCAGAGGCCATGGAGGTGAATGAGAACGAAGGAAGAGTGGCTGCATAGGCAGCCATTGAAGCGAGCTTCGGATAGCTGAATTTCACAGCGGTCGGTGAGAGAACCGGAGACAGAGACTCCATTGAGGCAAATCGGAGTTTCGGTTGAAGGCGCAAAATGGACCTTATCTGAGTTCTGTCGGATTCTCTTTCTTGGTCCCGAGACTTGGGTCAGCACACTATACGGCGCCGTTTAGCAAAAACTATTTATTTCCATAATTAAATTCTTAGAGCATCTCCCCGTTGGTGGAGGAAAATGGTAATTAAATGGCAAGGGCAATAAAATTGCCAATTAACTTGAGTGAGCCAAATAAGAGTGGAATTTCGTGTGTAGGAGTGGAATCTGAATTAATCTAGGCCATTGGTTTCTCACAAATCAAAATCAAAATCTTTATTTAAGTTTGTTAAGTGTGTTTAATTTTACGAGTGTTTAGAATTTGTTTAGATTTTTTTATTTTCAAATTAATCTAGGCCGTTGGTTTCTCTCAAATCAAATGCGCTAGATTGCGACATATATCAACAATTTATAATTTTCAATTTTTTTAAGGTTGGAAATCCAACTGTCCAGATGAAAGGATGCTTGGAAATCCAATGGCTGAGTAGCATTCCAAGCCGTTTAGAATTGCATTGCGCATGGGGGTCACTTGTTGCAGCTGCCGAGTGGCGTGTCCAAGGAGAGAAGAGGAAGCAGAAGGCTTTTTCGGCTTTTGGGGGTGCACGTGGGTGGGCCACAAATTGTGGCGGTTTTTGTAGCACAAGGCCACAGCAGTTGCAAGGGCCCAATCGCCCTCCCGTTCTTTCGCTGTTGGAGCAAATTGTTTTGGGTGAGATGCTTTTAGTGTATTGTTGACACTAGCGTTTAGTGGTATTTTCCTACGCTGGTGAGTTGGAAGTGTTAAGTTTGATCCTCGTGAATGATTGTTCAATACGAAATTATGATTAATTTATTTTGTGGTCTTGTCAAATTTTCAACCTCGCTTAATCGATGTCATGTAGGTACCGATTTTGAGGTGTGTTAGCCATCACTTAAATAGGCGACATAGTCATCACTACTACTGCTACTAAGTCCTAAGGGGACGCAAAGGGTAAAAATAACATATTAATCCCCTATTTTACAAAATTATGTAGCTACTACATATACATACACATATTTTTGAAGTTTAATCATGCTATAAAATTGAAAAACTGGTACTTGCATATACTGATTTTTTACTTACTTGGGGCATAACATACAATACCATACACTAGCATCAACTAGTATAATCTGTATAATATAGTCATGTCATTGCTGGGTAACTTTTAGATATTGGCAAAACGAGAGTATAAATATAGTACCTAAATAGACGTGTAAGATGAGTAACATAATCATACACTAGTCATGGCTAGTGTAAGCGGAAATTATAATCATACACTAGCCCTAGCTAGTGTAAGATGAAGGAACATGTACATGGTATGGACAAGCTGAAACACTGAAATATAACTCATACACATGCATGTTGTGTCCTATAGTCGTAGACTAGTACAATACTCTAATTTTGTGTAAGTGTACGCATCCCACAAGATAAGTAATAGAGAAAATCCATATTGTTGCCAAAATTAGATTAACCGAAATCAACCCAATTAAGTCCAAATTTTAATATTCGCAAGTGTAAGAATCGTTAAGTAGTTTAACAGGCAAGCACAGGATCATTCCAACTAAGATTGAAATAATTCTAACTATCCAACTTAATTTGTATTGCACTTGAATTGAAATTGTACGATTAATGATTGAGAAAAATTTAGGAGTAGAGATTCTAAATTAATAAAAAGTAAAATGAAATTAACAAGTAATGGAAAATGATGAACAACTTGCAAAGAAAATTATAAATCAATTGTGAAAGACACTAGAGCATCTGACTCACCATAACCAATCCAACTCAATTCCTACAGTTAATTATTAATGAGTAATCATCCAAATTGACGGTCTAGTTCCTCTAATTCACATAGTATCCATGGCATCTAGATTACTATGTATACTCATATGTGCTAACAATCTATGGCTTCTAGATTACTAAACACACAAGAGTTCATTAACGATTTAGGAACTACTTAAGAGACCGCATGAAACCTAGTGTATGACATCTACATCAAGGAATTCATGGTACCATTTGCAAGATGCTAAAACCAAATTAACATGGCATCTGTGTTAATTCGCATCAAATACACTCAACTCAAACCAAAGTGGTGGCCAATCACCAGGATTAAAATCAAGCTCATAAGCACATCTAAATGATACTCAAAGTGAATGAAAATTCATAAATAATTGAATTGAGAAATTAAGAATTCATAGTTAGGGCTACATCGTAGCCCTAGCGAAAAGAAATTAGTTCCTAAACATAATTGGAAATATTATTGAATTCATAAAATTAAAAAAAAAAGTTTAGAATAGCCTAAAAAATGCCCTTGCTCTGCCGCTGCCTTCTTCTTGTTCCGCCGATACTTTCTTCTTTTCTTTTTTTTCTTGTTGAATGATGATCTGTTTCCTCCCTTTAATTCCTCTTCCTTTTCTCTTTCTTTAATGAATCATGACTAGCCAATTAACTATATTAACTAGCCCTTTTTTTCCTTCTTTGTCTTGCCCACTTTTGCTTCCTTCTTTTGCTTGTCTTATTCTTCCTTTTCTTCTTCCCTCTTTCATTCATTTCTTGCATAATGAGCAGCCCCAATTATCTCCAAATTAATGCCAATTGAACTCCAGTTGTTCCTTTTGGTTTCTTTTGTCTTTCCCCTTAACTCCTTCTTTCTTTCTCCGTAATTGACGAAGGTTTAAAACCACAACCATGACCTTCATATTGCCCTCTTCAATTCTCTACTTGATTCGAAACGGTAATTGTATTTTCCAAATGGATATCCTCCAATTTTATTCCAATGAGTATCTTGCAAAGAGATTGAAGTAAAACAAATTTAAGCCACATGTATTTTCTAAATCGTAAATCCATAGTCCACACTTCAATCATGGTCACAGGCATTTAACATACCACATGATTATATTAAAACTAAGAAATTAATATGATTTTGATCCTATTCATTAGTATGACTATAAAAACTCAAAGTCATATAATTCCTCTAGTTTAAATCCAACATGTCATCATAAAATGTAACTTTTAGGGTAAAATAAGTAATAAAATATGTGCTCATCACATATTCATAAAATCGTCATCATCATTAATCACAAAGTATGTTTAATTCATAAAATGAAACTGAAATTCACATTTCCAAAATAAAATTCCGCTCATTGGTCAACAATCTAGCTGAGTCAGTCCTCCAGAACGTTTGAAACTATTAGGATCTAAGCACATAAAAGGACCCATTAGCAAAACGTCATTAAAACAATTGAGTTTGGAGAAACGGAATGTGGATTTGGGATTAGTGTGTCAAAATACCCTAATGGGGGGTCTCGTAACGGATCCAGAAAACAGTCTATGGTCACTGTTAATAGGTCAATGCTGGTCTGAGTCGATCGAGCCAATCTTAGCCGATCAAGCTGGTCAATTTGCATTAATGAGGACAAAACGACTGAAAAAAAATTAGGGACTAGTCGTAACACTTACTAGATTGAACACAAGTTCTTTATTTTTATCTTCCTCCGTCTATTTAATGAGCAAAACTATTTCCTTTAATTTGTGGGTCTAAATTAATTTTTTTCAATGCTAATTAGTAATTTAATTAACTTGGTAAAATGTACTCCATGAAAAGTTTCATTAACTTGGTAACAATGTGCTCCATAAAATGCTAATTAGTAATTTCATTAACTTGGTAAAATGTACTCCATGAAACGTTTCTTGTCTTATTCTTCATTTTCTTCTTCCCTCTTTCATTCATTTCTTCCAAAATGAGCAGCCCCAATTATCTCCAAATTAATGCCAATTGAACTCCAGTTGTTCCTTTTGGTTTCTTTTGTCTTTCCCCTTGACTTCCTTCTTTCTTTTTCCGTAACTGATGAAGGTTTAAAACCACAACCATGACCTTCATATTGTACTCTTCAATTCTCTACTTGATTCGAAATGGTAATTGTATTTTCCAAATGGACATCCTCCAATTTTATTCCAATGAGTATCCTGCAAAGAGATTGAAGTAAAAAAATTTAAGCCACATGTATTTTCTAAATCCTTAATCCATAGTCCACACTTCAATCATGGTCACAGACATTTAACATACCACATGATTATATTAAAACTAAGAAATTAATATGATTTTGATCCTATTCATTAGTATGACTATAAAAACTCAAAGTCATATGATTCCTCTTGTTTAAATCCAACATGTCATCATAAAATGTAACTTTTAGGGTAAAATAAGTAATAAAATATGTGCTCATCACATATTCATAAAATCATCATCATCATTAATCACAAAGTATGTTTAATTCATAAAATGAAACTGAAATTCACATTTCCAAAATAAAATTCCGCTCATTGGTCAACAATCTAACTGAGTCTGTCCTCCAGAACGTTTGAAACTGTTAGGATCTAAGCACATAAAAGGACCCATTAGCAAAACGTTATTAAAACAATTGAGTTTGGAGAAACGGAGTGTGGATTTGGGATTAGCGCATCAAAATACCCTAAGGGGGGGATCTGTAGCGGATCTAGAAAACAGTCAACGGTCAATGTTGGTCTAAGTCGATCGAGCCAATATGAGCTGGTCAATTTGCATTAATGAGGACAAAACGACTGAAAAAATTAGGGACCGGTCGTAACACTTACTAGATTGAACACAAGTTCTTTATTTTCATCTTCCTCCGTCTATTTAATGAGCAAAACTATTTCCTTTAATTTGTGGGTCTAAATTAATTTTTTTTCAATGCTAATTAGTAATTTCATTAACTTGGTAAAATGTACTCCATGAAAAGTTTCATTAACTTGGTAACAATGTACTCCATAAAATGCTTAAAAGAAGCTAGGAGAGTGCTATCAACATTTGCATTTGGATATTTTCACTTCTTCAAATGATACGTGTCATTTAAAAATAAAAGAAGACCTTTAATACTTTTAGTTAGGAATTATTGATGATGCTTAAATTGTAGTTTTCAGTATTAGTTCAAAAAATAAAAAATAAAAAAATTATCAAATGACGCTTAAATTGTAGTTTTCAGCCTAAAGTGCTAGCAAACAAAATTTAACTTGTTGGTTTTCAATTTTCATAAAA